TCCATCAATCGACGGATCTCCGCCATCACTTGACGGTTCTCCACCACCATCTTGCACTTATCATCCACGACTGAGCGGAGTGACATGGCAGTGGTGGTTACATCGGCACAAGGTGCCGCCGGGGGCAATATCTCAATCATGCCATTGTTTCCGACAACACTTACAGATGCTTGGCCAAATTTGAACTTGGCCACCAACTCCTTCACAACTCCTGGTGAAATATCACCTTCTTGTTCTCTCAGTCGTGGAGCCATCAAATCAAACACACAGAGTCCCACCAGGTGTGCCAATTTGTTTTCCGGCAAGGAAAAACTTGTGTTTGATTTCAATCGATGCACCTTGACTTCTCGAACAACAATTAATAACACGGTTCACACCTCTCCGAACCATGTTCGAACGAGGGTGTTTGATGATTTTGATGGCAGATAAAACTAAGTTCAATTACTTCTACTCCTATGGAGGTTTAGTGAGAGCTCCAAGAATTAAAAGCTACAACTATGGCTACATTGCAGAGAAAAGATAAGTTTGACATGTGGTGTCAAATGGTTGTTTGTGGACCCCTTGCTTCTTCTTCGTTTCTTCTATTTATAGCCACTAGGAGTAACTGCCTTGGTAACCGCCTTGGTAACTGCTAGCCGGCTTGTTGCTCCAACCGCCTTAGGGACCCCTTTTCGTTGCCTTAGTTGCCAATTGGTAATCGTTGTCTTGGTCTTCACCTCCATTGCCTTGGAGCTCCTAGACCCGTCTTGTTGACTGGTTGGTATCCATCGCCTTGGAGGCCCTTGTCCCATCTTGGGGTGGGTGGGTACTTGATGGCCTCGATGTCGGGTCGGGTTGGTGTTGAGCCTTGTCGCCCTGTCATAACTGGATGGGGCTGAGGCTCTTACCTTAGCCTCCATGAACCATGATGAAGTCTTGATCTCAACCTCGGCTGCTTGATGACTCCCCACTCTTGTCGTCTTGAGACCGCTACCACCTCAATGACACCAAACCCTCCTCATGAACTTGTTGGTTGTTACCAAGCTGTCTCATCGGCTTGATATCTTCCGGCATGCCACCAAGCCCATGTAATCAACTTGTCACCCCTTGCTACCAAGCCATTCCTGGTGGCTTGGTCTCCATACTTAGTTTTTGTAGCCTCGTCAAGTGGTAAGTTGCACCCTGCCGGTTTTCTACCCCGTGAAGGTGCTACCAAGCTCGTCTTTCGACTTTTTCTCCATATGGCATCATAAGGGCTGAGCTCGGCATCCTGGTCAATCCATCCATAGTTGGGTGGCCACCTCAGCTAGTCACCATGCCTTAGTCGAATTTCTTGTCTTGTTGGCTTGATACCCTGATGTCTGGCTATCAAGTTCGTCTTGGTGGCTTGATATCCAGACTTAGTTTCTATATGACTCCCTTAGTTGGTACCTGGCTTGGCCCCCTGTTGCCTGGCCACCAAGTCAGTCTTGCCGGCTTGATACCCCGGCTGTTTGGCACCCCGTTGTGTGGCCTTGTTTCCAAGACTTAGCTTTTGGATGGCCTCCTATTTGGTACCCGGCTTGGTACCCGGCCGTTTGGCACCCCGTTGTGTCGCCTTGTTTCCCATACTTAACCTTTGGATGGCCTCCTATTTGGTACCAAGTCTCATACTTAACCTTTGGATGGCCTCCTATTTGGTATCCGGCTTGGTACCCGGCCGTTTGGCACCCTGTTGTGTCGCCTTGTTTTCCATACTTAGCCAAATTTCTTACTTGGGTATCAGGCCTGCCTTGTCGGCTTGATACCCTCTTGTCTGGCCCCCTTATTTGGTACCAGGCTTGGTACCCGGTCGTTTGGCACCCCGTTGTGTCGCCTTGTTTCCAAGACTTAGTTTTTGTAGGCCAAATTTCATACTAAGGGGGGGAGGCATCGTCCGGCTATGGGGGCCTCGGAAATGGGTCGGCCATCGTATAGAGGAGAAGGGGGTTGGCCACTTAAGCCCAAAAATCTAACCCAACTAGACCCAGCTGACTCTTTTAATCATTAATGTTGAGCTAGTCTTATAAATCCATTAATCCCCTTGTAATTAATCGATGTGGTACAAGCTGATTTTTTTATGGGTAAACAATGTTCAAAGAAGAAAATGACACCAAAAAAAATGACATAGACATTGCTACAATCACATATTCACACGTGCCTATTCAACAGGGTTATTGAACTCTAACAATATCACTCAATTTTATATCACTATACACGACTTGCTCATTTAATATTACAATTCATGAACTTTTTTTTTAATAACGAGATACATTTCTTATTGTACAAAGTTACTAAATTATATCAATATTTTTCAGTTTTGTTTTATCATCAAACACAACAATTTTAGGCTCAATGCAAACCAAGTTATCTTTGAAAAAATCTTCTTCCCGCCAACTAACTGGGCTCGCATCTAGTGTATTGTTAAATCAACCTCCCCACTTCGCACGATCCGGTAGCCCACTGGAAAGTGGCTATTTACTGGACCTCAAACCACGTGAACCAAGTGGATCTCGTTACTTGGTTGGGCCTGCAACTAAACCCTCAACTCAGGACCAGTCCATCTGGTCCAGGAAAAGTCAATATACATCAACGACTGTTCATTCCGTGTCAATTAGATTGGATCCATGGATTGATAGATCCACGAATCAAGTGAATTGAATCAAATGGATTGATGGATTCATGAATTGGATCATGTGGATTGATGGAATAATCCATGGATACAAATAACATTCAAGTTTTGGACCAAAATATAAATTTTAGAAAGTTTATGTTGGGGATATAGCTCGGATCCAGTCGCGCGAGTAAGTTGGCCCAATGAACCCACCGCGAGTAAAGACACGTCCGCGAATGACTGAAGCACTAGGCGGCGGCGTTTTGCTTTACCCAAGCTGGCGTCGTTTCGTCCTGCCCAAGTCGTCGTCGTTTTGGTTAGTTCGAACTGGGAAAGAGAGCCGAGGAGAACGGCGTCGTATCCTCTGAAGGAATGGTCACATCCTAGTCCTAGTCCTAGGTATAATTATGGCCTAAAGCATGGCTTAAGTATCTAACACACGTAGTGGTCTTGTCGCATTAAATATCCACTCAACGCAATGTACTATAAAAGGAGCATTTACTACGGTAGGTGGGGGATCGGATTTTCGACTCTATCACTAAATACATCAACTTCTCTCTCTCTATAAATCTCATTCCCTCAACCTCACTCTCTTGAACTTTTAGCCATTAACAGATTGGAGATTCACCTTGCTGACTCTTCTCTCCCCACTTTCCCTGAGTCTCACTCCTACACTCAGTTAGGCTCAAACAGTTTATATACTAAAATGATATGATAAAAAAATTAGATACCAAAATGTAATTTTCTAATGACATTTTTGTATAAAAAATAAATTTTTAGTTACCAAATATAAAATATAAAAAGTATAGGTATTAAATCATCATTAGTCATTCTGATACATTAGTCCGCCAATCCAATTGAATTTGGATCCAATGAATTAAATTTAAATGGATAAATTGGATCGATGAATTGGTTTGTGAATTTCCACCTTTCACGCCCCCGTGTCCTTTCTAACGAACTCACGGCAGCATATATATAATACAGAAACCAAAGGCTACCCTTTCGCGGAGAGGCATCGCCGGTAAGAAATCAAGTAAAATCAGCCTGTAATCATCTTGTTTTCTTGCTCGTTGCTTACTTTACAGCCCGATAACACTAAACTTCAGAGCAACTACGAACTCCCCCAATAATTGAATACTCCACCATGGCCGGATGTCGGTCTCCGGCAGGGATGTTATCATTTGGCGCCATCATATCAACTACCAACCAACCAACACCACACTTTTGGGGGAACAGGATCTTTGGGCTCCAAGATCCCATTGTACTCTGCTCAATTGTTTCACTCTGGTCTTAGTTTCCCCCCTGGCTAGATTACAAATAGAAATCAGACCCCCTGAAACTGGCCAACTCTAACTACCAAGTCACGGGGGTTAGAATTGAGCCAGATAAAAAGGGTTTGTCAAGCTTCAATCATTAATCAAGCTGAACTTCTATTTAACGCCCTAATTATTTAAATTTTTCGCCCTAAACTACCTTAACTGACGATTTTACCCCCAAATTAACCTAAATCCTAGAACTAGCCGCCGCTCAATTCTCTTCCCCCTTCCCGTTCCTTTGTCCCCTCCCAGAGACAGAGGTCGCCGCCCTGCAAATCCAACAACGAGTCGTTGCCGAGTCAAAGAGGAAGGAGAAGATGTGCCGAGGCCGGTGGCCTATCAGAGCTGACCCACGACCAGGGGGGTGGTGCGCCCGTCCCGACCCACGGCCAAACTTATAACTCATCCCGTCGACGGCGAGGTCGGCGATAACTATCTTATCCTCTCCTCTTCTTCCTCATCCCGATGGATATAGGCGACGATAGATGTGGGTTCCTTCTTCCGATGCCGACTAGGCGCTGATGGTTAGTGATGACGATCGGGCGCCATTCTTCTTTGTCCTTCTTCCCCAGCTCGCAGCATCAAAGTAGCAGCGACGACGGGAGCAAATTCCGGTTTTGGATGGCGCCGGCGTCATTCTTCATTTGAGGTTTAGGGCGATAAAATTAGGAATGGGGGCAAATTTGTCCATTTCTTAATCTAGGGCGATAAAATTTGAAAATTTAGGGCGGCGAATAGTAACTCCCTTAATCAAGTACCCCCGGCCAGCTAGACTTGATTTTGGGCTAAATTGCAAGTTTGGTCACTCAAATTGCTACAAAATTTCATGTTTGGTCACTCGAATTCGTTTATTCTATTCGTAGTCACTTAAATTAGTTGAACAGTCCAAGTTCGGTCACTCTCCGTTAACCTCCGTCAAACTCCGTTAGTGTCGTTAGTTAACTGCTGACGTGGCTAACAGAGATGCCTAGTCACCCAATTTTAACCCAAGAAAAAACAGAAATTGATCCGCCACATCAGAAAAACATGCCACATCATATAAACACAACCCAACCTAAAAAAAACCATTAACCCACCCAGAAATCGAACCCGTGACCCATCCACCCTTCTTCTTCTTCCTCTATACCCTACATTTGTCGCCGCCGGGGGATTTCCATGATGGACAAGAGTCGAGTTGCGGTAGCTGAAAATGGTGGTGCCGCATGCGAATTCTTATCACGCGGCTGCGGCAACGATGCCCCCTCCGGATCAGTTCCCGGAATCAGCGAAGGCCGACAATAACAACATTTTGTCAGATTCGAAGCCACCGTTGACTGGCAGATCAGATGCTAGAGATATGGTGGAGTCGAAAAAGGAGCCCAGATCGCCGATTAAAGAATATGCATCCTCTGCTCATTGATTGTTTCTTCACCATTATCCCGCCCATGTCGACACAAACTAGGAACTGTTTGGATCTGTAGATTTCGATGGCTATGGCTTGGGTGAGCTTTGTTTTCCCGACGCCGAAAGCACCGTCGAAGAGGAAGCTTGCGAGGGGTCGGTTCGCATTTCTGGCATCGGCTTGGGCACGACGAATTGCTTGCCCGACTTGGTTGACCGCTTCGTCTTGTCCAATCACGTGAGCCTTGGAGTTCCTCGGAGCCAGTCATCGGAAACAGAGTCCCAATTAAAGTCCCTTTAATTTTTGCCAGCCAATAGTTACAGGAACTAATTTAATAGCATATTTCCCCAAGTGTGTCTGCTTATTTTCTCTTTTTGGTCCATAATTTTGTATCAGATTCAGAGACCCCCAGTCGACTCTTGTCCGGCGGCGGCAGAGGTAGGGTATAGAGGAAGAAGAAGAAGAAGGGTGGATGGGTCACGGGTTTGATTTTTGGGTGGGTTAATGGTTTTTTTAGGTTGGGTGGATTGGGTTGTGTTTATATGAGGTGGCATGTTTTTCTGACGTGGCGGATCAATTTCTGTTTTTTTCTTGGGTTAAAATTGGGTAACTAGACATCTCTGTTAGCCACGTCAGCAGTTAACTGACGACACTAACGGAGTCTGACGGAGGTTAACGGAGAGTGAGCAAACTTGGACTGTTCAACTAATTTAAGTGACTACGAATGGAATAAACGAATTCGAGTGACCAAACATGAAATTTTGTAGCAATTCGAGTGACCAAACTTGCAATTTAGCCCTTGATTTTGTGTCCCGTGATGATCCATTCCATGCACCTTGACAAAGACTCGAATTTGGGTTAGCTTTATGAGTGAATCGTGATCAAATTTATCATCAAATGAGCTTAGACAAAATGATGACCAAGCTTGGTCCGGATCGGGTTAAATCAAACTTAATATGATTGGATGCATGTGTAGTCACGGTGAAATGGAATGCGGATACATTTTATCCTTCGTTCAAAATTAAACCAGTCATTTGGGCTTCGGAGAAGTCTAAAAATACCATATGTGCAACAAATCATTGGTCAGTGAAACCCAAGTATGTGAGACTAGGACTTGACAAATTCCGTTAGTTAATCAGTGAAACTGCTTGATAACCACGGCATGCCCATGGTCAATGGTCATAGGCGAGGCAGTGTTTTTGGGATGGGTCACAGGACACGAGTAAATCTTTTGAAAAAAGTTATACATTCTTTATATACTAGCTTATAACCCGGCCAATGACCCGGCCCATTGGCCGAAATGTTCATATTTGATTATTTATATTTTTATGTTACATTTAAGCCAATCAACCGGTTTTATTTTATTGACAATCCTTCGATCGAGATGATACATAAAGAAAGAATATATAGGTCTAACATTCGGAGAAATACTATCATCATTTAAGAATATAAAATATAAAATGTATCATTAATTCCATTTTCATAATGTTAATTAAGCCCTCGTTAAAATGTTATTGGTTAGTTGGTTTTCAAGAAAGAGGGTATAAAAGATCAGTGAAATTCCACACGACCCATAAATATTTTGAAACTAAATCTTAAATCTCACAATCCTGCATAAGGGTTTAATGCGCTCCTTTTATGAACAATATGCCACTAATAAAAAAGAAATAGAGAGTTGTTGATTCAAGTCAACTATATACTAACAACTAAGCTAAGAGGGGACCATCAAAACTTGAGAGCAAACGACAAAATTAGGGTTATCTCCAACACACTAATAGACTCAATCAAAGTAATAAGGCACAAAATTAGACACTCCTTGTCTATCAGTTCCAGTAGGTTATAAAGAATCGACCTACTTCAATAAATCAATCAATGATTCCTCGTTTTAAGATAAAATAGGTTGTGATAGATGTAAAAACATAAACATAAGATCCAATAGCCACCACTCTTCCTTGTACAACCATTTTTTTTTTTATCTCTAGAGACATATTTTCAACCAAAAATTCAATTTCTAATCCTCCTTCTGCAACTCCATTATTTATTAAACTCTTTTACTTTTCCAACTTATATCCGCAACAATAAAACTGACGTGCCAAGAGATATCGGATGATTGATTTTCAAAGGCGGCCTTGTATTGAGAAGTGAAAGGGGCGCAAACTATTGTACGTTGGAGGGAATTTCCGAGGAAGTTAGAAAGAGATAAGAACAAAGATAAAACCACAAATTTAAATTGAAAAATGCAAGGGCACAACACGTAGTGACAAAATTAGTTTTTTCCATGTTAGCCAATTGCCAATTTACCTTTAGCAAATTAAGGAGAGAGAAAGAATTTTAAAATTAAGAAAATTACATGAAACTCTACTATGAAAATTGAAGTATCAAGCACCATAAAAATACATATGGTATACTTAGTGGGCTTGCTAATCATGATGGAAAGTCCTGTGATTTTCAGAGAGTTGAACTTCGTGTATATTTTGTATTCAAAAGACACAACAAATTTGTTCAGCATAAATGGTTGTAATTGTTGTCTTTGTTTGAAGAGACTCGGATTCAAATCTTGATGTTGATATTTTTTATGTGAGATAAATAATTAATTGTAAAGACAAAAATGTCCTTCCTATTTTCACTCTCGTTGCAGGAAATTTGAAATGAAAAAAAGTACACAAAAGTGTACTATATATTATTGGGAGATATATATATTTATGCAATGACTCAAATATTCAAATTCATCACTTTTATAAAGTATAAAGGTATTTTTCCCACTACTACAATAAAGCTCAAATTTTGTTATTCGATTGATATAAATAAATTTATACACTATAAATGAAATCCACAATTAAAATTAATCTCTAATTGAGTTCCTTTTTCTCAATTTCCTTATACACTATAAATGAAATCCTCGATTAAAATTAATCTCTAATTGAGTTCCTTTTTCTCAATTTCCTTATCATATTTTGTCCAACAACTATGAAGCATAAAGCAGAAGCCTATGCTTAGGAAGATTTAGTATCTTCCCAAGACGGCTTAGGTGATTGAGGAAAGAAGGAGGTTGGAGATGGAAAAGTCGTATCTAAACTACAAAAAAAGAGAATTGATGTGGAAACAAAGATCGAGAATGGACTCGATGAAGCACGGAACAAAAATACCAAGTTTTTCCATGTGAAGGCTTCAACATGGAGGAAAAGAAACACCATTCAAAAATTAAGACATGTGAATGGGAGAATATACAAGGGCCAGGAAGAGGTGATGGAATGTTTGCAGAGTACTATCATAGCCTTTTTCGAGTGAATTTTACAAGTATACTGGAGAAGTTGTTCAGGCTATTACAGCGAGGGTGGCATATGAGATGAATGCAATGCTTACTGCTCCTTTTCAAGAGGAAGAGGTCAACATTGCGCTGAAGCATATGGGGCTCCATTGTTAGAAAGTCAATCCTTTCCTATATTGAAGTAGGGTCAATCCATATGGAGCTTAACCATACACTCTTGGTTCTTATTCCTAAAGTGAAGGAGCCATCATCGCCTACGGACTTCAAACCTATAAGCTTATGTAGGATCATCTATAAGTTGATCTCCATAATATTGGCAAATAGATTGAAGGTTATCATGTACCAGATTATTTCAAAATCTCATAGCGCTTTTGTTCCTTGTTAGCTTATTACTGATAACATTATTACTGCCTTCGAATGCTTTCATTACATGAAAAATAAAAAGAAGGGGAAAAAAGGGTGTTCTAGCGGAAAAACTCGACATGACAAAGGCTTATGATAGGATCGAATGGATTTTGAGAGAAACTGATGGTTAAATTGGGATTTCATGAGGATTGGATCATAAGAGTGCTTTTGTGAATCAAGTACGTTTCCTACTCTCTAATGGTTAACAGACATCGATCTCAACCCTTTCAACCCTCTAGGAATTTCCGACAAGGAGATCCCCTATCTCCTTATCTCTTCATCCTTTGCGCTGAGGGCATCTCTGATCTCATCAAGCAGGCTGAAGCTAGAGGAGAGATTCATGAAGTCTGCAATGGTGCGCCAAAAATCTCGCACCTATTTTTTGCAGACGATAACTTATCTTTACAAGAGCCTCAAGAGAGGAGAGCCGACCGTTAAAGCTTATTATTCAAAAATATGAATTAGACTCTGGGCAGAAGGTCAACTTATGTAAGTCGGAGATCACCTTTAGCAAGAATGTCCTAGAGGAATGCAGGAAGGAAGCTTGCAGGGAGCTAGGGATTAAGGAAGTTTACAAACATGGGAAATATTTGGGACTACCAACCCTGATTGGAAGAGCTAAGAAGAAGGTATTTAAAGGTGTGAAAGAGCGTGTTCGGAGTAAATTAAAGGATTGGAAGGCAAGAACAATGCCTTATGCTGCTAAGGAAGTTCTGATTAAAGTATTGGTGCAAGCCCAGGTGATGTATCCTATGGTTTTGTTCCTCCTCCTTGACGATATATTGATGAATTGCACAGTCTAATATCGAATTCATGCTGGAGAGAAAAAGGTGGAAAATAAAAAACATTGGATGAGCTGAGACAAAATGTGTGATGAGAAAGGGTTTGGAGGTATGGGATTTCGTGATTTTAAAGCTTTCAATTTTTCCATGTTGGCCAAGCAATTATGGAACGTGATTACAAGACCACTGACTCGACTCTACTGTCACTCCAGGAATTGGCCAAGTGAAACCACTTCCTAAAGCGTAGTATAGCGGGTTTGGGTTTAATTATCAACCCGGGTCCTAGATGTGATGACTACTCAGTGAATTCTTGTTATCTAGCAATAAAACTGGCATGCAAGTCTAAACTATCAAACTAACAAAGCAAGTAAACTGTTGTATTCAGGTTAAGAGAGGTCACCCGGATATGGTTCCCCCTAGACTGCAGTTAAGCCAGATTGTAATTACCAAGTTCAGTTTCTATGAAGATTATACTGCGGAAGGTTCTTAAACAGCCTGAAGTCTCGACTAAAGGTCTTCAGACCCTCTCAATCTGAATCTCTAGCGGGCGACTAACCTCCACCGGAGTAGACAGATCGAGGCCCTAAGAACAAAACCTCCACTACCGGAGTAAACCCAGTACAGAATAGTGAGTTGGCTCCTCGACTAAAGTCACCAACTCCCTACCTTCAATCAAGGATACTCTATTAACCTAGGCAGATATTCTCATTCTAGGTTAAAGCAGAAACAACAGGAATTTGATCAGGTTTCAAGTCATTCAATCATTAAAACCTCAATCGAATATAATCAATCACAGAATCAGTACTTGGGTTCATACAATCAAACCTAACATACAAATCTAGGGTTCT